ATGGCTGCTGATGAGTGGTGTAGGTCCGTGCCCGGGAACTGAACCCGGGTGGAGCACGCCGAATAAACCACTAGGCCATGGGGCCGACCCCAAAAGGCAGCTTCTTAGATCTCCCTCAGTTTACCTCTCTAACCTCATCTTTCACTGTTCTCCTGCCTTTGATTCTGAGATTTAGGCTATTCATTTGGATATACCCACTAACGTCCGCTCCTGTGACTCCTGGCAAATAGACATGCTGTTTGAGCTCTCTGGAGTAACCCCCTTTTTCTTTATTTTGGAGACTCAATTATTATCTCCCCATTAGAGCCATCCCACCTATGTTTTAATCCTGGATCAACCTTTTCCAGCTATGTAACCTTGGGCAAATTATTCAAGTTCCCTGTAGAATTTATAAAATGGGGCTAACCATAGTAGTTCCTTCATACTGTTATTGTGAGGACTAAGTTAATACACATAAAGCTTAAGCAATGCCTGAATCATAATAAGCATTCAACAAAATCCTTAAGAGGCCTCTGCAGATGCTGGATTCTGCCCTCATCCTTCTGTCTCTGCCATGATTTTAATATTCCCCCTGTGTGTTTTGCTAATGGCCTGGCATCCTGGCCTCACCTCTAGCAAACAATTATGGAATATGATTGTTTATCTGTCTCTTTCCCCACCAAATTCTAGTTTCCTTGAAGCCACACACTTAATTATATCTTTTTTCTCTTCCCAGTGGTCTGAATGGTATCTGGCATACTACAGGAACTCAGCAAATATTTGTTAAGTAAAAATGGATGAATATCCTTATCCCCAGAAGAGAATCGGAAACAGAACAGTTGTTGTATAACTATTTTTTGAATGAATGAATGGATAAATTTATGAATTATATTTTGGTCTAGCAGGATGCTGCAAGCTGATTTGGACAGTAAGACAATCAGCCCATGTAATTTTAGGATAGAGACTAAATGTTATTTCCTTTTTAATTTTTCTTTCTTTGTTTTTTATGCTTTGTTAGTAATTAAGTTCTTGATTACATAATATGATGTCTGCCTCATGTGTGCTTAATGTATGTGATGATGTTTTAATCAACTCCTAACATAGATGACTAGTGAATGTTTGATAGTCACAGTACCTGATTATCTTCCCCAAAAGAATTCCAAACCTTGTTTCCATGCCATTATCAATGTAAACTATTTAATTCCTGCAATAACTGTGAACTGCCAAAAACGTGAAGCAATCAGCTGAGCTTTGACACTATGAAAACATTGAGGGCAGTGTTTCTTCAGTGGGTAATGATTCTAAGAATAAATGTGACCAAATGTTTGCAGACAAAGGTTACACAAAAATGAACATGTTATCCAGAAGTCTTACAAAACAGATGCAATTCAGTTTGAAACGACTATTTGTCCAAGACATCACTATTGCCTGCTCAGAACAAGAGGAGGAAAGTTTGGTGAATTATTTCAGAAAATGTGTTTGTTAATTGTACTTAGCTTAAATGCATCTCATGACATTGAATGTTTTAGTAGGAAAAGTTCTGTGAAACTAAATAAAAATACTCCCTATATGCAAAGATGGATTTACAGTTCCTGAACCAGACACGTGTTTGAGGAAAGGATAAATCTCTTTTTCTTGCTTTTATCACATAACTTTAGGGAATTATAAGCACTTTAGAAAGCATAAAAATAAAAATAACCGCAATTTTTTGAGCATTTACTATGGATAGGCATCAATGCTATATGTTTTATATAAATCTCTTTTAATTCTTATTACAAAGTCATCAGGTACGTATTATAATCCCATTTTAGAGCTAAGAAAACTGAAGCTAAAAGAAGCTGCTTGGATGACTGTCAACAGTCAGACACTCTACAGCATACTAGAGCATTATATTCAGACATTTTCCATGAAAGAAATTTTATTTATAGATAGTACTTAATAAATTTGTGCTGAGTTAAATCTTGTCACTTGGAGGAGAAGGAACTAAAGTTTAATGAGTCAACAATGTCATGTGCTCTTTGCTTTTATATGCAATATCTAATTTAATTCTTTCTCTATCACTGTGAAGTAGAGACAATTATCCTGACTTTATAAACGATGAGGCAGCTTCATTAAGGTTAAATTAGTTGCCAGTTACAGAAAAAACTCACTAAAAATTTCTTCTCTTGCCTTGTAGTATTACATTCAGCCCGTCACCATAAATGACTGCGTCAAGTTGGAACCAGAGGACCCTTAAGATCTATTAAAATTTTTGGCTTTTTGGATTATAACAGAGTTCATGATTATTTTGGAAAATCTTTTAGAAGACTACTCTTTGAGTTTTTAAAATATACATTTTAGAAAATTGATGCATTTATTGCGGTGTATTGATTTAGGCATCTTTGCATATACTCAAATTTAAAAGTAGAATATTTACACATAATCCTTTGATAAATAACAAATCCTTTTGATAAATGAATTTTTGGTCATAAAATTAGGGACAAGTTCTAGGGCCACCCGGTGGCATAGTGGTTAAGTTCATCTGCTCTGCTTCGGAGGCCCAGGGTTCGCAGTTTCAGATCCTGGGCGTGGACTGACGCACCGCTTGTCAAGCCATGCTGTGGTGGCGTCCCATATAAAGTAGAGGAAGATGGGCAAGGATGATAGGCCAGGGCCAATCTTCCTCAGCAAAAAGATGAAGATTGGCAACGGATGTTAGGTCGAGGCTAATCTTCCTCACACACAAAAAAAAATTAGGGAAAAGTTTTTACTTATGTGTTTTAGAATTAGAATGAAATAAAAGTTCGTTTTAGTAACTGGCATTTTATCCAGTATTGTCATTTAAAATTTTAAATCCACCATAACTAAACACTGTGGCACCAGTGAAAATGAAGATATGCAGAGAATTAAAATCTTAATGGAGACCTTAGTGAGAGGAACTTTCCATTTTTTTGTCTCTTATGAGTCCTTAAGTGACCAAATATTTAGTTAGAATACTTAACTGTGAGATTAAAGAAAGAAAAAGATTAACAAGAAGCAAATAAAATCTATGGTTATGAGAGCACAGAACACATTGGAAAATAGGGTAATAGGCTTACATCACGATCACAAATCCTGTAGTTAAATCAGGATTTATTTTAGGATTGTATCATTAAAAGGAAAATAAATATCTAGAGGCCTGAAGTATTAGGCAATTTCTGTCTCTAGTATTACTTTTTTTGGATATGTTATATCATAGAATAGATTGTTACTCTTCTCATAGCCTGAGTGGATGTCATGGGGAGCATCTGTCAGGAATGCCATTGTAATTGTTCAATAAATGTCTGTTGAATTGAACAAATGTTTGGTTGCCTGATGTTGCACCCAAACTCCAAACCTAGCCAGAAACTTTAATTCTGAAGTCACCCCCTCGCCTCTAAAAGTTTAAGGACATATTTATTAGATAAATACTCAGAAAAGAAGAGAAATTATGATAAGCAGGCAGACATATGAGCTCTGTGAGAATCACCAGGGCTTGATATTTCTAACATTATGAAAAAAAAAACTACTCAACTCCATGTGCTTTAAGTCTCCTGATGATAAGAAAAATATGTTTTCAATCTTTCCCCAAATGTATTCAGTTCAATAAGAGAATAGATATGTCTCATATTAATACTTAATTTCCAAATACTCATGAGCTCTATTAACATTCTCTGGCAAAATCCTATGCTTTCCTTCCAGTGGACTCTAACTCAAGGTTTTGGCAGCCTCTGACTGATTAGCAGGTTTTTTCCTTCCCAATCACATTTCTGAGCACACCCAAATGGAGCTCTGGGAACTCACTGTTTAAAAAATATTCTTTACAAAGTATATTAAGGGCTTGTTTAGACTATTTAAAGGAGATATAACTCAAGGTAATGGAGTGTAATAGAGAAATGTGAAATGTCTTTAAAACAAGATCACTTAATACGGAGTTATCCTCTATATTCATACCTATACATGGAAGTATAGAATTGAGCTAATTTTTCATATAGCTGAAGTCCGCTATTAAATTAAAGGAATCTCCACATTATGTATATTGCATATGCACACTGAACCTTTACGTGAATGGTCACATAAGCCACAGCTTAATGACAATCATAACTTTCAGATCTAAGTGGTGTTCTCTTTCACTCATCACCATTTACTATTCCATCTTTACTCAGAGAAAGGCTGACTAACAAGCAGAACTGCAGAAGATGACCTTAAGCTCCAAACTTTGAAAAGCTCTCCTGAGGCTCAGGAGAGGTTCTGCCTGAAGTGGACAAGTGCACACAGAAGCACTCATTCAACAATGTTGGGTGGATGGATGGACAGATGGATGGATGTCTTCTAAGGAGACACAGGCCTGCAATATTTCTAATGGTTAAATGGCTCCAGATATTTTAGTGATATTAAAAATTTGTATTTCCACTGTCAAAAAGACACCCCAGAATAAATGTGCCTCGATGGCCTGGTTAGGTCCTCTCTGTACAGAACTAAGCATGAGTGATCTTAACAATGACTTTTAACAACAAAGATTCTTTCTCCCTCATAATAGTTATCGGGAACTTCTATATCTCCTTTTCTCTGCAGGCAATTCTTCCCTCTTTCCTTCTGCAAAAGAGACAATTAATATTAGTTTTAAAATGGGAACTGTCCTGAAACTCTCCCCGGTAATCTGAACTAATCTTTAACATTGGCTAATTTTTGTCCTGTATAATTTTGTCTAACACCACAACACCAAATATTTACCCATGATAGTACAGTAGATTTTATCTAAGGCTAAAAGGACGTAGAAAGAAAGAAGAAATTAGAAAGTTCTTTTAGAAAGATATTGTGAATTCATGATTCAAGTTCATGAATATATTCTCTGAAGTTAAAAACATGAGAAAATTGTCAGTGCAAACTTCATGAAATGCTTCTAAGAATAAAGTCCTTTTGCTGCTTTTACACAGCAATCAACGCAGTGTAGAATGTTATACTGAATATTATTTACTCCATATTAAATATTTACTATATCCACATGAGAAAGAAATTCTTACCACCTTCTTTAGTGCACAGGTTGACAAGGTTATGCACTGTGTCCATCAGCTCCAACTGCTGCTTCTGAAGGACACTGTTGTTGGTGGTGGCTCTGCTCAATTGTTTCTCCAGTTCCTGGATTATATATGTTTGACGAGTAACCAAGCCTCGAAGATTCTCTTTCTCTTCCTTTAAGGTATCCAACTCTTCCTTGTGCTTTCCTTCCATTTCTAAGATTTTATGTTCTAATAAACTACAAGGAAATGAAGATAAGATAAAAATGCTATACAAAAACACTGTACAACGGGTTCCTGAGTTTATTTAAATTTGGAAATTTTAGTTAGGTATTTCACTATGGAAATTGTTTTTAAGTGAGAGACAGAATATATATATAAAATATATATTTTAAAAATAGGAGTTACATATACAACATGTCAAATGAAGAATTATTAGACTAGTTGTCAGAGTAATGTTTATTTACTAAATATAATTTATTTCCTGGGGTTTATCTTATATCCAGAGTAGCTGACTTGGACCCAAACAATTACCGTCTGGAGAAGTTTCATTAAGGAAATGGATCCAATAAAAAACAGAATAGTTCAGGAAAAAAAAGTATGAACAAAATATAGAAACTATTTTACTTTGCTTCATTCATTTGGGATTCTCAGAACATTAACAGTGATTACATTTCATAACAGTTCTGTGGGGTCAGAGAATAGTATATTGATGCAGAAAACACAGGACCAGAAAGTAAGCTATCTAAAGTCACAGTGAATTAGATTTCTTGGGATTTTTGAAACCTGGTCATGCATCATAACCACTAGCTTTATCTCTCAATCTAAGCCTCAAAAGGAGGCCTAAAGGCACCACAAGTTCCCAATCACTGAATAATTGATTTTGAAAAGGAAGACCATTAGGCGGTGGCATAGTCTTACAAACGGATTTGGGATGCTTTGCTCGGGGTGATGTGATCTTCAACTGAGAACCTTCCTTCTCTCAGAACTCTTCAAAGGATACTCCCCTTGCCTATTGCACTTTAAAAATGATAGAGAATGCAGAAGCACTCTTGGATCCTAGCAACTGACTGGAAATAAAAAGCATTTGCATTTTATAGAGTGTATAATATACTAGTATTCCTCAGAGAAAAGCCTTATTCAGTTTTCCCAGTTCCACTTTCAGAAGGTTTGACCAGTCCTTAGATTACAAGGTGTCATTCAAATGTAACACACCAGACTAAGGCACTTGATTTACCTTGGAGAAATATAACACTGAATCATTCCTATAAGTTTTGAAAAAGGGGACACTAGGGAGTGTTTTAAATTTAATACTTAAATCATAAAATAGAGCATGATTGAAGAGCCAAATTTTCCAACTCCATGTACTGGAGGACAAGCTGGAATACCTGATCGTCCTTCACACAGATTAGGAAGTGTGGAGAGAACTGCTCATGGGCATTCCAGATCTTTGCCAACAAACCTGTCCCCCAAAAGAATGTGGCCCAGAATATAGGAGGAAAGTTGTCCATTGAACCAAGCTTGAAAAACGCTGGGATGCTTCTATGTATAAGACTTTACTAATTTACAACACCTTTGGTAGCATGCTCAGATTCACATATGAAAATTTCACATCGAGACCCATTAGGGGCAGCTCTGTGACTTCTGCGAGATAAGAAAAGCCACACCTTTGTCGGGGTTGGCCTGAAGGCGCAGCGTGTAAGTGCTTGTGCTCTGCTTCCCCGGAGGCCCGGGGTTCACAGGCCCGGATCCCGGGCGCGCACTGACGCACCGCTTGTCAAGCCATGCTGTGGCGGCCTCCCATATAAAGTAGAGGAAGATGGGCATGGATGTCAGCCCAGGGCCAATCTTCCTCAGGAAAAAGAGGAGGATTGGCATCGGATGTTAGCTCAGGGCTAATCTTCCTTACACAAAAAATAAATAAATGAAAGCCATATATATATAAATATAATATATATTATAAAAATATATATTATTTATAAAAATAAATATATATTTTTATTGAAGTGACATTGATTTATAACATTATATAAATTTCAGGTGTACATCATTGTATTTTGACTTCTGTATAGACTACATCATTTTCACCACCAAATGTCTAGTTTGAGTTCCTTTCATTCTATGGGACACCAACAGTGAAAGAAGCCCTGCCCTGACTGATCGTTAAGCAAACTCAATTTTGATAGATCTTGGGTATAGTGATTCCGGGAAAACGTGATGGTCATTTATATTTTTTAAAACGTTTTTTGCAAATGAAAAATTTAGGCAAGAAAGTCACAGTAAGATGAAAGACAGTATCTCTAAGGAGTAGGTACGATTCATTGTCTTTTAGTATTTTCTTCTGTGTCAATAACTTGCTGTTGGAGAAGTTAGCAGTTAAAAAACAAATAAAATGGGGGGCCGGCTGGATGGCGAAGTGGTTAAGTGCACACGCTCTGCTTCAGGCAGACCCGGGTTTGCGGGCTCGGATCCGGACGTGGACCCATACACTGCTCATCAAGCTGTGGCAGCATCCTATATACAAAATAGAGGAAGACTGGCACAGATGTTAGCTCGGGGACAATATTCCTCAAGCAAAGAGGAAGATTGGCTACAGATGTTAGCTCAGGGCCAATCTTCCCCATCAAAAAAAACAAAAACAAAAAAAGCAAAACAAAATAAAACAAAAATACCTTCTCTGTTGGTTAAAAAGTTCATCCCACCCACTGGTTTAGTGATTAGTGTACTTGATGTGGATCTCCAAGGAGGGTTTCTCTGTACCTATTAATTTTTGGCCTTTAGATTTGAGAATTAATCACAATCGATGCCTTAGCTCATTCTCAGTTTACTTTTTCATTATTTTTGTTTCTCCTCACAGGGTAATGATCAGATGCAAGATACCCATAATACAGAGTCAGTTAACCTGTAAGAAAATTGTCTTTTGAATTTACAAGAGTTATAGTGTACTACCAAGAAACCTTAGAATTAACTATTAAAATGATAATAATGTAAAGATTAAAATTTGAATGATATAGTCACATAACACAGGATAAAAATTCTGAATTATCATTTTGTTCCTGAAACAAGACGAGCACTGGCTTTTCAGTTTTCCTAATTAGTAGGTAACACTCTGGTTTGAAAAATATCATATTATAGTTATAACTTGTATCTATTAGTTGCTAAGTGCCAATAGTGGTCTCAGCACTATGTAAAAAATAAATGACACTATTCCTACTCTAAGGACTTATTTTTAGAGAGAAAACCTCACATAAAAAAAATAGCAGCTATAAGAAACTTCTGTTTCAGACACAATACGTTTTTCAAATTTTTGCCTCAACGTTTTTCTGCTTTCTACTTTTGACGCATTCCTCGTTCAAGAGGGCAGACACTTAAAGATGGCTAATATCTGAGATGTCGATAAAGGAGTTTTGCTTTGTTCTTTTTGTTTTTCAGGATAATTTGGAAAGAGCTGAGAATGGGAAGTTGATCAAAGAAGTCCTGGTTCCAAGGGAAACAATTCTGGACACTGGCTTGTGGAAGAAAAGTGCTGCATTTTCTGAGTTAAAGGAATATACACTTAGCATGTTGGAAAGAACATTAATTTTCATAACTCACCCAACAACCTTTAACATACCATGGCTACCAGGTATCAAAAGACATCAACATAGCCCGCCATCTTAAAATAGATATTCATGTAAAGTAAAGAAAGGACTGCTCACAGACGTAAAAAAGCCTATTCTGCATCACAGACATCTCACAGGATTTGGAATGAAATACATGCATGAAAAAATAATACGAAAATTATTTCAGACAAATTGGAAACGTGACACATTTTTTCCCAAATGGCAGGTCTTACCAGTTAATTATCTCTTCCAGTCATTTTCTCATCTCCTTTCTTCACTTGGAGTTTCTTTAATAGCTTTTGTACTCCAGTAATTCTCTATTAACTTTATTTATTAGGGATATCCTTTATACTAATGATCACATTTTAGACTTCTTCAGGCAAGACTGATCTCTTTTTGACTGTTTCATTTTCTTTGACATTGCTCGTCCCTCCCTTGCATCTTCTCTTCGTATTTTGCTTCCAAAAAACTATTCTCTTCTCTTTGCTACTTCTCGTCCATTGGTTATCATCTACTTGGGAAGTCAGCCCTTCCTCCTCACTATTTCCAAACTGGTTTAAGTCCAAAACTTTCTCGCCAGAAATGTTCGTATACTATCTCTACTTTAATTAATCACACACTGTAATATATCATTATGGTCGTATAGCATTTTAAAACCCTTATCTCCTTTGATTCTTAAAGCAATATAGTGATATAGACTGAGTAGATGTTATAATCCTCAGTTTATAGGTAAGAATCTAAATATCTTGTCCAAAATTGTGCACATATTGTGTCAGAATCAAGATAAAAAGCCAAGTCTTCTAACTCGTCAGACTAGAAATCTGCCCATGACATCCAGTGCTGTCAAAACTAGCTTTAGAGTCTCATCTCTGTGATTTAGTATAATATAATCTCTACTTATTTCCACCCATTTATATTTTACGAGGAATCAAGACAAAAACTTAACATCTCCTTAATATTTGCTGCTCTCCATCTGGTTATTTTGGGAGCTTGTCTTTCACAATATTTCAACCTATCAATCTTTTCCACATATAAAAACAAAATTTCCTTGCCAAGGCAGGTTTTTTTTTTTATCTGAACTGAGATTTTCTTAACTCCACTCTGCCTTAACCCTCTGCCATCAAGTTTAATTTTCTTACTCAAGATATTAATCATATTCCATTTTGTCCTGAATCATTTTATTGGTTCTCTTACATTTTCCCTATCCCAGGTCAGTTGGGAGAGGCCATTTCAGCTAGGCACAGAGATCTCTACATATAAAGATTGATCTGAAGGACAACATTACTGCTCCAACGTTCTAAAACCAGATAGACAAAGTAGTCATATTTTCCCTTCAGCAATAAGTTTAGTGTAGGTTTAAATGCATAATCCAAAACCTGGATGTCGATTCCAAAATCCAGTGCACTGTTTTCTAGAGTCCATTCGGTACATTTTAGTAGGCACTCCGTTGTTAAGAATTCTAGTGTCAAGTTTTGGGGAAGCCTAAATTAAAATAAACAGTTTTTATTATGACACATCTTTTAGGATTAGTGTTCATAGAGCAACAATTTATGAAACTGTGCACCTAAATCTATTCAAATTGACCTAGAAATGCAAAGACAGAGTTTCTCACAGGATTCTCAGTACTTCCTGTTTCC